CTTCCAGTACGACCCTCGCGCTTGGTCAATAAGATATATGTACGGAGATATCTAAAACGTGGATGGAATTGCACTGAAATGAGAAAATAATTAATGATTAACAGGCAAAATTAAAAGAAGCATAGTTAAATCATAATTCATTAAAGCCGGGCAAAAGAGGAACAGTGAGGTTCTTGAGCTAGCCCCTATAAATTATCATCACTATTTCTTTTGTTATCATTATCATTATTTTTATAAATATGATTTTTTGTCATCATCATTCGTTGAATGTCAAGAAGTCACTATGTTCTTGAATCATCTTTCTCTTGTGGAACGCGGTATTCAAAAATACGTAAGAAACCGCAGCCAGTTTTGCATCTTTGTACAAATCTTCTCAAACACTACGTTGTAGTATTATCGCAAAACCTCTAGTTCTTTTCAGTGCTATAAAAAATTATGCCTTATCAGTTGGCACTGGCAGTCTTAGAATTGTCTCGATCGAAAGGCTCGATTGCTATGCTAAATTACTGAATGATTGATAAGTTCTCAAATCCTCAAATTATGCCGCCGTGACTATGCAAGTTCAGAAATGTTCATACATAATTTTCAGTTTCTCAGAAAAAGCAAAAAAATCAACAAACCTCCATTTTCCACTTCTAATGAGAAAAAGAGGAAGTTTCATGTGAACCGTCCTCGGAGACTCCGAGGATGTGTGAACTGTAAACACATGAAAAGGGTGGGGGGGCACGGAGCGGTTAGGGGAAGGATGGGGGCACGGATGTCGTAAGTTAGGACAATCTGGGTGAGGATGTCGCCGCGACACGCAGCGGCCAGTGCGTTGCTGCAAATATTCACCTCATATGAAATGACGAAATTTTTGAGAAAAACCTTTGTCGTTGCGCCGCATGTCGCTTAAATTCAAACAGAGTTGGACTTAAAATTTTGTTACCGCAACGAAGATTTTTCCCGGGCGTACTTCTCGGTGAGCTTACTCTGGAGTCGGTACACGCGGAGTCGGTACTCGCTACCCTAATCGAAACGGGCAGAAAAATAAATTTTATGCTTTGTCTCATACTGACTGCATGGAGCCGCTCAGCCTAAGTAAGACAAAGATTTAACGTATTTTTTTGAAAAATTCTTGATACCAGAAATATTGACCGTGTAGGCGCTCGTTGACAATATTTACACTAGTGTTCAAGAATTTGCTTCCGGAAAGATGCCTGTTACATAAGAAAAATAGTAAAAACTGTTTACGCAGTCTAGGATTCAAATGTGCGAAAACGATGCCCGCTTCGAATGTACTTCCTGTCTTTTCCAAATATCCTAAGGGAGGGGTATGACACTGCGTTCATCCTCAGGGCCACGTGTGTTCGCCCAATTCTAAGAATCAGTCCAGTCAAGCGCGTATCGCGTTGCATTTGTCTTCAGAGACGTTCGTCCACCAAGACCCTTTGATATGTCACTAAGCTTGAAATGTAACGAACACACTTTTACGTATGATGCGCGGTCCTTCGCAGTAGATAGCGCTATTTATGCAATAGCGAAAATCAGACACTTTTGATGCCCCGGAGATGCGAAAAAATCTACCAAAATCTCTACTTATAGTATGAATCCAACGTTTCTTCATTTCCTCTTCGTCTGGAAACTTAAATAATCCAATTTGTTCTCCTTTTGATTCAATATCCCCTCTTTGTGTGCACAATGGTACTCAACAGTAAATAATGTTGGACTTCGACGCCATGTTTCTTGCGATGCCTCCTAAGCCTCGTTTTGGTGAACTCGGCTCAGGTCTTAACCGCGCGACCGCCATTTATGAATAAGGCGTATTTGCCGTAATTTCCAGACGAAACTCGAGTGAGCCTCTTTGGACGACCCCTTTGCTGCTCATCGAAACGAAATTTCAATCATGAAATTTCCCTGCTGTTGTTTCCCGGTATGTAGGCAATCTTGCAATAATCACTTATCATAATCGGGTAGGAAGTTTTGAAATACGCTTTGGCTCAATCTTGAAAGCGGAAGAAGAAAGTTACTTCATATCGACGCAAAATGTTTTGATAAGTCTTTCTTCGGTGAAATTTGTTTTCCTCATATGATGTGATACGTTTATTTTTGGTTTCCGCTCTCCTCAAAGTTTATGTGCTGTTGTTGGTATTGTTCAT